TGAATACTTTCTGTACCCACTGTATATAACATTTAGAAAAGCCAAGTTGACTTTCAGGATTAAAAGAGTCCTCGTCCGTTCTATCGGCCTCACAACAGTGGTCCTCAGGTTAATTCTTAGCCAGAATGGTGGTCCCTGGGTCACAATTAGTTGAAAACCCCTAGACTAGAATTAAGGAAGCCAACTTATGGCAAAAAAGGCAGTATGGTTAAGGAGAAAATAAACCAGCAGGATAAGACAATGCATTCTGTTAACACTGTCTCTCAGCCAAGTGTAGAGAGAAAGAAATGGAGCCGTGGAGAACTCTGAGCCACTGAAGAAGAATGCTGCCATCTCCAAAAATAGGTGTGTAGGTGACAAAGCTTCTGGTCTTTTTTAATCACAATATATTTTCTAAGCATTCAGGTTTGTATATCCCCAGGGTGAAACTAGGCAACAGTAACAGGTGCTCAAGTATCTAGTACAGGGAAGTGATGAATGTGAAACTGATTCATCACATCACAGTTGGTAGCTGGTTTCCCTGACACAAAAACAACCAAATTTCATAAAATCCCATAAATGCCATTTAACTGGGAAATATTTTCTACCAACAAGAACAGTGGAAGTAGTGAGAATACTAGTAAAAACTCACTACACCAAGGTTTGTGCATTTTATTGAATAACCAAAATATTTTCGTCATTATACTGGAGTGGTGGTAAAAATCTTAACAGAGAGGAATTTCCCCCAAACACATCAGCAAATAAAACTGGAACTATGTGCATGTCTAAAAGCCACTGGGTCCAAACTGGGAAAGTCTCCTTTTTTGAAATACTAAGAAATAAGGAACTGAGTGATGCCAAAAATATAAATATACATAAAGTGGCTGTGGGTTGTTGTGACTTGCCAGTACTTACTAAATGCCTTCTGGAGTTGATGTGGACTCAATTCAATGACATTTCTGTTAAAGGGAGTACTGAGTATACAACTCCATTGAGTCACCCCCCACATACTAATAATAATTTAGATGGTTTGTGGCTGGTGGCCAATTAATGATCTGTAGATCTGAAATAATAAATTATAATGCCCTCTGTAGTTATGGTTGGTGGACTGGTACTTGTGAGACTTGGACTTCTATGTGAATCCTCAGTGCAATTAGCTCACAAAGAACTATAACTAACTCTATAATTCATGCATAGTACCCTTTTGTAATTGAGAACAGGTATGACATGTCCTTAACATAAGTTCTTAAAGCCCTAAAGTGTGTGTAATCATATTAATAAGGTCTCTAGTCAGACAAACACATCATCATTCATAATGCAACTGGAAAAATGCAAGAATGGACCTCTGACTAAAGATCTTGAAATATTAATGTGTACTACAGTACCATCTAATTAAGGTGACTGAAATCAAACAATAAGGGCATAGTGATTTTGAATATATTACTGCAAACAATTTGCAGTACAATTCCAACTTTACTTCTCAGTTACATGTGAATTTACTAACCTTAGTTTGCATCAACCGCAGCTCTTCACTCAGGTGACAGTTGACTTTGAGAAGCTGCTGGATTTTGGCTTCTGATGCAGTAAGGGCGCTCTTCACCTCCATAAATTCCTGCACCGTGATTGGTCCATCAGAGAGGTCAGATGACTCTGAGCTCTGTGGAAGAAAACATTACAGAGAAAATGATTAATAGAGCAGTTTAAAAAATAACCTGTAAATTGTTGTAATAGTAACAGGCTCCAACAAACATTAATCTTGGTCCTTCCGTCATTGCAGCTGTCCCCACGGGTGGCCTCTTGTACCGGATCTTCATCTGATGCTACACTGTCATAATCTGGCTGGTCATTGTCCTGGCTCTCGCTGTTATGGTGACTGTCTATTCCCTGAAGGATCAGCTCCACGTTTTCTGAAGGCAGACCACGAGATTAAAGGATCAGAGATCAAACAAGCCCTGCTGGACACAGACAGCTGTCTAAATCAAACAGCTGAGGATCACTTTTTATTTCTCTTTACTGAATCCAAAAATCAGGATTTGCTCTTTATTTCTTAACCCCAACAATCCTCTCTGAGTGTGTGGACTGACTAATTTAGGCCTTTTCATTTTCTGTTTAAATGTTAACTACATTGCATTTACTGCAGTGCAAACCACCATCAAACCCAAAACAAAAGGTACATTAGTAACGAAATTCAATCAGATCTGAAAGAGATATCCTACCTTTGGGACTCTCGCAGGAATTGCCCCACTGCCGTCGTTTAGCATCAGTTAAAATATCAATGACAAGGGTGGCAAATTCATGAGCACTAAACCTAGCTAATTTCTGACGACCCTGAGAAAGCAAACACAAAACAACATAACATGAAATAAACACAAAAGTATGGAAGTATGGCAACCCCCTGGCGCAATCACTTGCCTGGTTTCTGGTAGATGAGTACTCTGGATTGACTGGCAGAAATGGCACAACTGTTGTGTCGGTTACAAGTGTGCTGTGGTTTTGAGTTGCCAACCACACTGAAAAAACACAATATATGATTAAAAATGCAAAGGCTTAACAAGCATTATACAGTATATAGTGTTTTTTTTTTTTTAACAATTCTCTGAATTTTACCTGCATCCGTTTCTCTTCTGTCAACTTCATCATAAACATCCATGGCAAGTTCCTCAAACTGATGGTTACTTAGCTAGAACAACATAAAACTGAATTTTTAGTTCACTTCTATAACAACTGAACAAGAAAACATATTTTGGACCTCAAAGCAAACAAATCACTAATAAAAATGTCTCACCGACTGCAGTTTCTTCTTTGCAGCCTTTGCAAACTCTGACAAATCTAGACTGCTTTGGACAAAATAAATAAATAAAATGGTTATTCTGCTGCACACAAACAAGAAAACCAATGGTAACAAACATACTTACTTATTTCTGATCCATCCAATGTAGCATACAAAAAAAAGGAACTGTCATTTTATTATAAATGTCGATGAGGCTGCTGATATGATATACAGTACATTATAATAAAAGGTCAACCACTGTGTATAGTACTGTATTAACTAAGTGCTGGGAGCCTGTTGGAGCTGATAACAACACTCTGTATTGTTTTCTGTGCATTACAAGATCTCAAGTTTTGTAACTAAGAGGTATGAAAATTACTACAACTTGGAGGATCGCTGTTACCTGTCTGCCATCTGTGGAATGATGAAGTGTTGCCCATTTCTGTGGTCTATAGCATGGACATGACACAAAGTGATTATCACAGGAAAGAAAGAGTGAAAGAATAAAACACTAGCCGTCAAAAGGCCATAAAGCGGCCATGCTTGGTGTGCCTATTGTACTTACCTGGTCTTCTGCCGCAAAGGTAAAATGTTAATCGATCAGTGAGTTCATACTGGATCTCCACGAGCCTCTCTGCCAGCTCCTGGTGCCCAGCTTGTCTGCACATTTCAGAAAACGAGCAAAAAAATGCCTCAGGGTGCCTTTAAATTAGTCTATGACAAAAGACAACTGTCTCATGTAGAGTCCAAAATTGGTTTGGTTACATTAATGTATTGAGCAGAAGGTCTGTGTGTGGTAACTGGTGACCAGTCAGGCTTGGACACCAAAAATGACAGTTTTCACTTTTTATATTGGTACTGCTGTGCAATACAGACATTTGTTTTGTGAAATATGTATACTAACAAGCAATACGATTGTTGCACCATTATCTTTTATCTTTATTGTTCAAACTTCTGCTAAACTATGTTGCAAGCTGTCTGCTAGCATACTATGACAGAATGTTTTCCTTCCTCTCTTGCTCAGTTAGTCATACCCTTCCTGAAATAACGCCATAGGGTTTGTTTCTACTGTTTATTGTGATGCAAGACATGCAAAATATTTTAGCTGTTTCAGCTGGAAATTTAGTTTTTTCCCCATTTCTAACTAGGCTGTTTCTACCTGTTTTCAATTACCTTGTCACTTCTGTCATCATTAAAAAGGACACAAAGTATTCACACACATCATACATGTTTTCTATATATTTTTAAAACTCTAAAGGATGTGTATCATTTCCTGCAGCAGTCACACTGAGCTCAGCTGCATCTGTTAAGTCCATCCTTGTTTTCACACTACATACAACAATAGCTTCCTGTATTTTCTCTGTAGCCAACACTGTGAAATTAGATCACAGAGCTCACCAGAAATATTTGGGGAGACAGAGATGACCCACGAACTTGCCTGACTATGACTTACAATACACTTCAATGGCTCAAAACAATAACATAACATTATGTAGT